GGGAGACTCGGAGTGGCCGTGGCGCGGGCGCCGCTTCTCCCCCTCCCTCCTAGGCTCTCAAGTCTGGGAGGGAGGGGGAGACTCGGAGTGGCCGTGGCGCGGGCGCCGCTTCTCCCCCTCCCTCCTAGGCTCTCAAGTCTGGGAGGGAGGGGGAGCAGCGGCGCACGAAACGGCTGTTTCGCACGCCGCGGCCGCTCGGGATCTCCTCCTCCCTCCCAGGCTTGAGAGCCTGGGAGGGAGGGGGAGCAGCGGCACGCGAATCAGCTGTTTCGCGCGCTGTGGCAGCAGCAGCAGTGGAGATGAGCTAGGTTGGCGGGGGCACATTTTTAGGGATGGCATTCTGGCGCCGGCCATGCCGCCCCTAAAAATGTGCCGCCCCAAGCACCAGCTTGTTTTGCTGGTGCCTAGAGCCGGCCCTGTTTATCATACTTCACTTAACCAAATATGTCTCACTTTCTGGCTATTAGATTTGAAGGTTTCTTACCTTTCAGTGACTTTTTTCATATGTTGTGTTTATTTACTTGAAGTTTGCCCTATAATAGACTTCTCCTTCCTACTCAAATAATACATACAAGCCTTTATTATTCTGTATTTAAGTAAAATTGCTATGAATGTGATTAAGTATTGGTAGGCACAGTGAGCTGAAATCCATATTTGGTGCATATTTTCATTTTGTCTATAGAGACATCTGTGTATTGAAAATGCACCCCAAATAATTGGGATTAAAAATACAAGGTTTCAGGACAATGTCATCTTTAGCATATATAATGAAAATTCATCTTTAGATAAAATTCTGAGGGGAAGAAAGCTTTAAGGAGGGTTAACATTTTGTTAAAAATGATTCGGGAGATGGTGTAGACTGAGAACTAGAAATGCAAATTTAAAATGAGTAATTCAAACTATTGCATCATTGTATACTAGCCCCGGTGCATCCAGTATTATACATAGAGTCCTGTGCAGATACAAAATTTGCATCCGCATCTGATCTATGATCTCCAATCATGGTTCGTGGATATAAAGCGGATATCCGCAGTTTTTCAGGGCTCTAATTATACAGTATTTGTATAGAGTTGAATTGAACAGAAACAGTCTGAATACCCTGATCAGCCAGATGCCCTGATTGCCCCTAAGAGGCATCACCAGACCTGCTTTTAAGCCCAGCAGCAGTACAGGGTCAGTGGCTGCTCAAGGTTTATGCCCTCAGCAATGATCACTCCTGTGCCTGCCTTCTTTCCTGCCTTTTTTTCTGTCCTGCTCCAGCTTTCCTTCTTTGCCTGCTTCCTGACTCCGGCTCTGACCCTTGGCTTTACTGCAGGTTCCTGACTCCGGCTCCAACTGCTAAGCACGATGACTGCCACTGCCCCGACTACTAGGCCTGACTGTCCATGCCGTAGTTCATGACAGCCAGCTTGTCCTTTTCCTAACAATTAAATCATGAGACAAGTGCAACAGGGCAAACCGAGAAGTAAATTATTAGAGTTGTGTACTTCCTTTTTTGAAAATAGTGAGAAGATAAAACAAAAAAATCAGTTAAAAAAAGACTAGAGGAGGAATAGGCTTAGTCTGAGAGCAACAAAATAGTAAATATTAGTTTTTCTCCTTTTTGTACGTCACACTAATGTATCATTTTTATTTTTCTTCAGTGTTAGTATGCAAAAGAAATTTAGCTCATTTGTGTATCCAGTTGTGATAATGAAAATGTTTCAAAGAGAAAATCAGAATGTGAGGACTCAGCAATGCTAACAAATCCTCTTGGATGTATAAATATTTATATGTGAAATATGAATTCTAATAATTTAATTACTCTGATTTTTACTATGATTTATGTATCTCTTAAGCTTTGTTTTTGGGCAACTTAAAAAGTAGAAAATATTTTTCTCTTATTTGTTTACTTAATCTTTTAATTTTTAATGTAAACTCAAGCATGTTGTATTCCTTGCAGTGATGCACCAATAATATAAAATTATTTCCCATTATAACATATAACATATACTTTCCTTTAAGTGTGTTCAGTGGCAGTAAGAAATTGTTTGGAGTGCCAGCAGCATGCACAAATGAAACCTATTGGAGAAACTGTAAGGAGTCAGAAAACAATGCAGAGCCTAATAGGAACAGGGAAGTCTGCAGCAAAGGCAAGTATATGACACCGTTAAGTAAGGCAAACATTAATACTGCAATTAATGAGTATCCATGGCTAAGTCCCTATGCTTTTTGTTCCATTAACATGTAGCAGAAAAGAAATGTAGGATCAAATAATGTGAATATTAAATCTTACAGTAATTGTTCCAAACTGTAAATATAACATTTAAATATATAAACGTTGGAATCTTCCCCAATTGAAAAAAGTCTGAATCTGTCTTACTTTCCCAGGTTCCCCTAGCCGTATTTCTTTTAATATGGAATCTGTATTGATCACTGTGCCCTATGTACCATAAGTTTGATGTGTGTTGATGAATAGTCTTCAGGAGAGTCATGTTTATAGAATCTTAGGACTGGACGGAACCTCAAGAGGTCATCTAGTCCAGTCCCCTGCACTCATGGCAGGACTAAGTATTATCTAGACCATTCCTGACAAATGTTTGTCTAACCTGCTCTTAAAAATCTCCAATGATGGAGATTCCACAACCTCCCTCAGCAATTTATTCCAGTGCTTAACCACCCTGATAGTTAGGAACTTTTTCCTAATGTTCAACCTAAACCTCCCTTGCTGCAATTTAAGCCCATTGCTTCTTGTCCTATCCTTAGAGGTTAAGAACAATAATTCTTCTCTCTCCTCCTTGTAACAATCTTTTCTGTACTCAAAAACTATTATCATATCCCCTCTGTCTTCTCTTTTCCAGGCTAAACAAACCCAATTTTTTCAATCTTCCCTCATAGTTCATGTTTTCTAGACCTTTAATAATTTTTGTTGCTCTTCGCTGGACTTTCTCCAATTTGTCCACATCTTTCCTAAATGTGGTGCCGAGAACTGGACACACTACTCCAGTTGAGGCCTAATCAGTGCGGAGCAGAGAGGAAGAATTACTTCTTGTGTCTTG